CGTGAAGAAATATTCATGAGTTGCCATGTGGTTCTTTGGAGACAGGAAAGTTGTCTTCCTGTGCATCCTCCTCCCTCTACCCAGCTTGTATCCTGCACCTTGGCAGCCAACTAAGGGCAAGCGAGTCAGTGTGCTCTGGCGAGGCCCGAGGGTACCTGAAAGCAGCTTGTTCACTTAAGCACATTAAATAATTCCTCCCTGCGGAGCTCGTTACCTGATGACTTTGTGACAATTAGCTGTTTATTCACAGGAAGGGTACGTGTAAACGCTGCGGGCAGTGGTCTAAGACTCAGTCATCTTCGGCTCCAGTATCTTCCACCACTGGTAGGTCTGTCATTCGGGGAAAGTTAGTTTGCCTCTATTCTTCACCTGTAAATTGGGCATAATAATTATTTTACAAATCACTGGGAGAGAACACTTAGAGCCCTTCCTGGGATGTAGCAAGGGTGAAGTGTTAGCCTGGTTCGTAGTCCCAGGGTATGAGGGTCCTGAAAAAAAGCTAACTGAAGTCTTAGGCAGAACTTGTGCATTCAAATACATGCTGCTGAGAGAGAAGTCAGATGCTTTTTGCTTTCTCTCTGCTTCTGCTTCCGTCCGGTATTTATGGCTCTTGGCACGTAGATTTTTTTTAAGGGAAGGATAATTGTGCTATTAATTGATTAACTTTTATTTCATTCTCTTAATGTTTCTCTGCAGACCTAAGTATCCTGAGGCAGGATGCTTGCTCTGAGAAATGGCCGGTGAAGGGTGATGGGAACAGTGTGCTTTCTGCTCTTGGTCCGGCCACATGACAAATGTAATAATAGCTCTGCTGCCGTGTACTTTTCATGGACTTCCGTTGTTCTTTCTGTGTAAACCAAACCCTGTCGGTGTCTTCAAATCTGTGGTACCGATTGCAGTGTTTAGCAGCTTAACAAAACAATAGAGGGGAGTGTGTGAGTGTGTGTGTGTGTGTGTGTGTGTGTGTGTGTGTGTGCGCGCGCATGCGCACAAACATGTGCAAGCTTGTGACCTGGAGACGCATGAAAAAGTGGCAAAGAAGAGAAATATTCTCAGTGACCTTTCTTTGTGTGTTTGGTTTCCATGAAGAGAACCACAAGCAAATTAGTAAATAATTTCCCGTTAATTTCCAGGACTACAAACACCCCTTTGCTGGAGTCCAAACCAGACGTGATTTAACGAGAAGTAACTCACGTTAAGAGAAGACAGATTTCCTTTTCCTCGAGATTTCTACTCGTGCCTTTCATTGCTTGGTCGCTGTCATCTCCTGTTTCTCTGATATTGCTGTTGAATTCACTGGGGCTGTGTCATGGGACGGGGCCCTAAGGGATCCCCAAAGCAGCCGTGTGCACTCTCCAAGGAGCAGAGGACAACAGCGGGAAGGACATGCTCACAGGAAGAGAGGGACACAGCGAGAGAGCTGCATCGCGTCTGGGGCTGGGCAAGTTGATGGAGAACCGGGGATGGAAATGGTGGAGCACGTGAATCTGAAGGAAAGGGCGGTTCAGGTTACATGCAGAAGACGCTAAGGCTTCTGCTGTCCTGCTAGGAGGAGGTGACAGCCCGGCCCGGGGAAGGCCTGTTTTACAGGTGAAAGACACGCTGTGCTCACACGTGGAAGAGAGACATCTGGGGGTGAACGGGGTGGCCAGAGTTCCTCGGGGGGTGCCAGGGAACTGTCCGGGCTTACTGTGTCTCCGGGAAAAAGACAACTAAACTCCTGTCCGGGAGCTGCAGCATTTCTTTTTAGAACGATGGCTTTCCCTGTCACCTTTTCCCCTCCCCAAGCTACTTCTATCCTGCTTCGGTTCTAGGGCGCTCAGACCAACCTCCAGTTTCCACACATGCTGCTCCCTCCTAACCACAAGCTCCAGATTCCTTGCCATGGGTGATGGGTCCAGGGCAGACTTCTAGGTTCTTGTGTGTGACAGAGACATGGCACGTGACGGGAAGGGGTGAAAGCAGCAAGGTTTAATGAAGTTTAATTAGGCAATGGAATGACCGGCGTGAATGGCTAGCACCATCAGAAAGCAAAATGACAGGAGAGCTGGATGCTTTGTTTTTAAGAATTTAAATTTCTGGTCGGATCTTTCAGGAACAGAGTGATTGACAGGTGTGTCTACTGCGCATGCCCATTTCCATGATTTGCATATGGACATTGAGATGCAACTCATTTGCATGAACCTTTAAGGAGCTCCAAGTGAAGACAGGTTACCGTGGGTCATGCAGGTGGCTGTGCGAATATGCATCTTACCTTTACCTCTGCAAAGTGACATAGGAGATATGTAACTCCCAACCTGCCAGATGTCAGAGTGTGGAGTTGGTGTCCCCCAAATATTGAAGCATGAATTCCAAGGGATAACGGAGGTTAGCAGCAGGAAAAGGTTATTAAGAAACAGTTCCTGAGAGACAGGATGGGTCCTGAATGTGGGTTGCTGGGGGGCCCCTTGGTCCGGGGTGATGTATAGAGCCACGTCACAATGTGGGTACACTGTGGGGAGACCTACCATGAACCTGTAGGGTGACAAGCATCACCACCTAGCTGCTGTGCACCCAGTAGGGAGCAGAGTCAGCTCAAGGATTTGTGCAAAGAACAAAGGCACTGGGGAAGGGAAGGGTCCAGGTGCACTGCTCACCCACCTGGGTGGCTCCTGCCCGGGACTTCCTGGACGAGGCAGTGCTAGTGACCGTGCGCTCTCAGGTTACTCCTCCCATGGGGAGGTGGGCGGGCCTGGCCACTGCATCTCCATCTTGAGGCCTGGCCTTTTTCAGATACACCGCCAGCCACAGGGCTGGTGTCTTTATTTTCATCTTAACTTCCTGGAGAGCCCAGTCCTCTCTGACTGTGTATGACTCTCTATCTGACTTAGCTGCCCGTCATATGAGGACAAAGGTCAGGGGGTCAGCCCTGCGGTGTGGCCCCGGGTGAGTGGACAGTAGTTGTCCGTAACCCTAATTGTGCTACCCGTAATGTCAAACGGAGAAGTGGAAGAGCAGGGGTCACGGATGCGTGAAGAGTGGCTATGATTGAACCCCACCAGCAGAGCAGACCGCAGGCAGGCAGTTGTGATCCAGAAAGTTCTTCACTCAGGCCTTGGCTGCTGGCTTTCGGACTGCCCGGGCCCCTCCCAGGCCCTCCACGCACCTCCACTTGACGTCCTCTGCTCCACCTCCAACCCCTGGCCTCTCTTGTCTTCTTGCATGTTTGACTCTGGTTTTATGCTTTTAAAAAGCTATTCCTCATCTTCCACGTCCTCTTTCCTTTAGCATCATCATAATGTCTCCCAGTCCTTATTTAAAATGCAGCTCTAGTGTGTCTTCAGCATTTTAGGAGCACCGTGACATGGCGCTTCCCAAATGCACAAGAACACACAGATCATCCCGTGCACTTCTGCACAAGCCCTGATCTTCTGTATGGCGCATTCTTTCCCTTGGAGCAGCCAGCTTATACGTCCGTGGCCTCTCTAGCCCGAGCACATCTTCTGCCTATTCCAGCACTTACTATAAAGAATGACCAGGGCTTTTTCTCTGTGGTTTCCTACTGATTCCTGGAGACCCACTGAGAATAACAAACCTGTCTTTCCCTGCAAATGTTCTGGCTATCTATCCTAACACCCAGCAGTACACAGCAAGCAGTCAGACAATGGGATGCTGAGAAATAAATGTGTCTGCTTTTAGAAACATTGTGGCCATCTTTTATAAAGTATACAGTCATCAAGTAAAACAGTTTCTAGTTACACAAAATGGACTGTTGCAGTGAATGTATCTGACAGGCTCAGAAAATACCAAGGGCTGTGGGGAGGAAACCTCGGGGGAAAAAGAAGAATTATTGATCACACTGGGAAAAAGATTTGGAAATACAACAGCAGTGATAGTATGACCTTGTAAATGTGATTATTACCACCGAATTATATGCTTAAAATGGTTACAGTGTTAAGTTTAATTTTATGTATATCTTAGCACAGAAAAATTAAATAATGGACTATTTACAAACAAAAAGCATTGAAATAGTCACGGCAAGTAAATGTACGTTATATAAAAGGAAATGCTTGTTTGCTAAATAAAGAATTAAAAGGAAGCTCAGTAACTAATCTTAGTAATAAATATGGCTAGAGAAATACTCCTATTCACCATTTATTTTCATTTCCGACAAATATTACTGCAACAAAAACACCATTAAATAATGCGATGAATTTTAAAAAGCAGTCACTACATCACCGAAGGATTAAAAGAAAGCAAGCCATGTAAATAAAACACCTGCGAGGCCAAATCCTGGGTGCGTCCCAGGAAAACGCACTGCACTGCCACCTGCACAACGGTTAGCTCCCTGGGACAGCAGGGCCCGTACTCGGAGCAGACGGCCCATCTTCGTTCATGTTTGCCAAGTCGAACCCTCTAGTCTGCAGTGTGGGCTGTGGGCCCTGATTCGTGCCCCAGGTCTACCTGACATTCTGTGACCCATGTAAAAGGTTCTAGTCTTGCCAATCCATACTTCTTTGATGGAACAAATGAAAGGAAAAATGTTTGATATCATTGTTCCTTTTTGGTAAACGCCAAGATCAACGGCTCAGGGCCTGTGGTGACCTCATGGGGGCTCCTTCCTGTTAACATAGAGCTCTGAGTAAGCTTATGCTGGGGAAGTGGTTTATCTACATAGAACAGACAGATTTGCAAAATAACTTTGTACCCACAGTTTCTGTCTCTGTGTTTCTGTTTCTGTTTTGCTTTAAGTTTATATCAGCATACTTCATAATGTATGCTGTATCATTCCACTCAGCATTCCAAGCTGTGGTTCAGAAGTTTTTGAGGAAATTCTGGTCTATACTGAGAGCACTGTTACTGTTCGTGAACCTCACGTATTTCCTGAGCAAACACGGATAAAACTGAGACGGGTCCGTTGTCTCGGGAGGTCGGTCTTACGGGTTTGATTTCCTGTGCGGATTATCTTCTAACCTGTTTTTCTCTCTTTGTTTCTCCTCTGCCTGCCGACTTGGATGTAGCAGACCATTTGGGGATTGAATTCATGGGTAAGATAAATATCTTTCTCCTCAAACATCCTGCAAAATTCAAGGTTTTGAATGCACATGTTGTTCTCTGTCCCCCTCTCATTATAACTGAAATGCCTCACTATCAGATGCTATTCGTAGTAAAAACAATGTTTTCGCCTATTTTCACTGAGTCTTGACTGAAGATGAAAACTTACTTGGAAAGCAATTTGATGCTAAGGGCCTCTACAACTCCACGGAAGTTGGCTTTGGCTCCCGGTTTTGATTGTTTGCACTAACTCTTAATTTTCTTATCTGAAAAAGAGGGAGATTAATATTTTCTACTTTGCTGCACTTATAAATTGCTTAGTACAATGTCTACAACCTGGAGAACATCTAAAAATGAGAGAAAACAGTGGTTTTTAAATGCTGGTTTTTGGTTTTTCCTACTGTAATTCCTCATTTTTTTCATGACGGCTACTTTGGAGACATTGGGATATTGATCTTAATTTGGCGTGTAGGATTGTAAGCATTACTATTTAAAAATTTTTAGTATTTTTTTTTAAAGAAGCTGCGGTGGGTACCACATTTTTAAAGCACTAGAATACTTCTGCAGTACTACTTTCTATTTTAAAAGAAAATTGCAACTGGGTATTAGCTCAGTGGTGTAAGTGCCTGCCTGGCAAGCGTGAGGTCACGAGTTTGATCCCCAGTACAAAAAAAAGGAAACTGCATTAAAATTAGAGGTAAGGTGACTCTTCATGATAAACTAAGAAACATGAGAGGATTTCTTAAAGTTCAGTATTTGTTGCAGCTCAGACGTGAAGCCACTGTCAGGAGTGAGAGCGTGAGGGGTCAAAAGATCACAGTTCGAATCCAGGTTGCTCAGCTCTGCTCCTGGGCCTGTGCGGATTTCATTTTTCCTCTGATCTGACACTGGTCTGAGTGCTTGCTTCGTCGGTGTATGTGCTCACGGTGGTAATGCTTACATTTTTACCTGGATTCATTTAATCTATGCACGCACTCAGTGAATATTTATCCAGTCACTATACGCAAAGAAAAATGCAACATTTTAGAAGTTAATTAGTAAAATTAGGCAAATAAACTTTAAAGGTTTAGGTTTGCTGAGCTTAGAGAGAAAAAATCAAGTACTAGAACTTACATAAAATTGGAAATGTCTTGAGCTCTTTTCCAGGCCAGGGGTGTTAGCTTGACTATCATGATGGTCAAAATGTAAAGAGAGATGCAAGATACTTAGGAGGAAAAACTGGGCAGTATTTGAAAACAATTGATGTAGAATCTGTAAGGGAAAATGGTCATGTTATCGCTCATTTAAATAAGAGGTGAACTAATACCTGAAAATAGAATATTGATTAAAGAACACTTTGGGGGACGTTTATTAGATTAGGTGTGGAAATGTGAGTCTGGGGTGCCAGTGACGTGCTTGAGAACAGAGGTCAAGGTGGATTTTGTATTCTGGACATCTAGAGGGTTAATAAGAGGACAACAACTGTATTTTTACCCTGGATTGTCTTCTTTGTTGTATGTTTTTTGGACTGTGTTGTCTAGCTATTACATCACTGAAAAGGCAGACAACTCAGTTCCTGAAGTTTTGCTAGGTGATTAAAACCCAGTACAGTGAAATGCAGGGTAGCATTCAAGTGGAACACCATGAAATGTAAACCAGATGTGGAAGAAAGGATAAAGCCAATTAATAGCCATGAAAATTTTCCAACAAGTTGGTGCCACTTGTGAAGATTGTAGTCCTACGGCAGCTCGGGTGAGAACGATGGAGTTACAGGGTCTGATAGTTTTCAGACTGTCACACTGCTTGTGGCAGTGTGTGACAAAGTTGACCTGGAGAAGTAAGCCATTTGTAGCTGGAGACGGAGGAGTTGCCAGGACCTAATTTTGCACAGGGTGTCTCAGCAGGGGCTGCAGTTACTCATGCTGGTACTAGGGCAGGGAAGTACTTATATGTTAACGTCTCTGATAAAGTAAATAGACTATATCGGCAGCTAATAGATGTCGATAAAGGCTTTCTTACGTATCCATAATGATAAAACCCTTTACATCAAGAAATAGAATCCTAGGAATGACTCAAACTCAGTAGCAATTTATTTGTTGCTACTGGTTTTCCCTGTGTTCATACACACTTCTGGTCAGCAAATAACTACCCAACTAATAAATCAAGGGTCTAGGCTTTATTTTTTTTCCTCTTATGGCTTTCACGTCATCTAGCAAGCCTCATCAGCTGCCTCTGGTCAGCAAAATGGGTAACATGAACATAGCAACTACATCCTCACTCTTGGATAGATTTGATCTGAAAGGTTTCCTGCCATGATTGTTAACATTCTTTTAGGATGATTTAAATCACAGAACCGCACCTTACAGGAAGAGAGGCTGAGCCATGAGAGCTTAGTAGCTCTGGGAGAAAGGAGGAGATGGGTTTTTAGTAACCTCTAGCTCCGTAATAATAGCATCAGCTTGAAAACAGCAGCATTTTTCATAAGAGACAAGAAAAAGAATTCTTTAGGAACCAGGAGGACAGGTCCCAACTTGGAGGGTAAAAGAAAGTTTTAAAAGATTTGCAGGAGAACTGGACTTTTCAGGAAAGATTCAGGTCTCAGTTACGACAGAAGGAAGAAAGAAACAAGGAAGAGATTGAAAATGCAGAGGAGGTGTTGGTGGACTTGGACGAGCAGTGTCAGGTGGACAAGCAGAGTTTAGCTGGTGGAGGAGGAGAAGAAAGCTAAGTCGTGGGCCACCAACTACAGAAAACCGTGTCTCAGTGTGAGCAGTGGAGTACAGTGTTTGAGCATCACAAGGGATCTGCACTTTCCTCATCCACTCCTGAGGGCAGGGCAGCATGGCAGAGTATGGACATCTGTGGTCATTTTAAGGAAACAGCGCTCAACCTCAGGGCCGGGCCGGTGCCCTGCTGGGCGGAGGTGGTTGCAAGCTCGGGGAAGGCTGGTACATGTGCTGCTCAGCATAATGTCCACAGACACAGGGGCAGCACGGAGCTGATGGTGGGGCTCGGAAGACCGGATCCTACAGGCAGAGCGGCTGCAGGTATAGCAAAGGAACATTTCCACGTGAAGGTTAATCACAGCTCTTTAAGAAACACACCTGCTGCCGTCTTAGCGTGAGTCTGTCCTGTGGCCCTGATGACTTACAGGACCACCCACCTAAGGATGTGTTAAGGGGTCTGCGCTCAAGCTCACTTTAAGGAACGTGATTACTGGTGCAGAAAAAATTAGGTTACTGTGTAGTTCATCTGTATGGATTTCAAGGTATAATGAGGCCACAGACGTGAAAAGTTAATCCTACGTGTAAAGCCTTCCAGTGCTGGAGTGGAAGAGCTCTCCACAGGTGCTATTTGACTCCAGTGGTAGACCCTGCCTTGAAGGGAAGGGGTGGGAACCACAAACCAGAGTTAGGAACATGCATAGTATGCGTATAAATAATGGCAACCAACAAAGGGTTGTTTAAGGGACGGATTTACAGCATTAATGATTATACTCCTTCTGCTCACCTTACTGGTTCACTCCTCTGGGGTGAACTGTCTGTAAACTTTTGTCACCTTGGGAACAAAGACTTCAGTTGGTGATGGGGGAATCCATATCAGTAAAATTTTTTCATCAAAGAACACTCTAACCACACACACGCACAGCCATGTTGACATTGCCCGCAAGAGTGGTACATTTGTTATAACTTATAAATTCTTTCTTCCCCGAATCTTCTCTTCAATATCTAAAGTGTATCTAAGTGTCTAAAGTGAGATGACCACACCTGCACCATCCAGGTTATGTCCTATGTTATCTTCTAGGAGTGCTTTAGCTTTGAACATCTCATTTAGGACTACACAGTATCCTGAGTTCATTTTGGTGAAGGAGGGAAGGTCTGCCTCTGAATTCATTGTGTTGCAGATGAATATACAGTTGTTCTAGCCACTGTTGTTGGTTAGACTTTTTTTCCCTTTTCAAATGACTTTGCACCTTTGTCAAAGATCAGTTGGACCGTATTTATGTGCATTGGTTTCTGGGATCTCTGTTCTGTTCCATTGATTCATTTGTCTGTTTTACCAATAGCTGGTTTTTCTTGATTTCTGTAGATTATAGTAAGTCCTGAAGTTAGATTGTGTCATTTTTCAACTTTGTTCTGTCCTTCAATATCATACTGACTGCACGGGATCTTTCACTATATTATTTAAAATCAGTTTAACAGGATCAGCAAATGGACTTGCATACTTTTACTGGGACTACAATGAATCTGTGGATAAAGTTGGGAAGAACTGAGTTCCTGATAATATCAAGCCTTTTATCTCTATGCTAATGTCTTCTGCATAAAGTTTTCTTTCCTTCCAATCTGTATGTCATTGATTCCCTTTATTTTTTGTCTTATTTAAGTACATAATACTTCCAGTATGGTGTTGCTCAGTGATAAGAAAGGCGGCCTTCACTTGCACCTGATCTTACTGAGAAAGCTTCAGGTTTTCCTCCCTATGACATTAGACGTGATGCTTAGAAAACTTTCTGTATCAAGTTCAGGAAGTCCTCCTCCGGTCCTAGGTTAGGGTGAATTTTTCTTTTCCTTTCCTTTGTTAAATCACGAATGAGTTGGATTTTGTCAAGTAGTCTTTCTGAACCCCTTGATAGAATTGCTATCGTTTAGTTCCAGGATGCCCCTCCATCTCGTGTGTGCTGGCAGGTGGGGCTTCCAGAATGTGACTGGACGCAGGAAGGGGCCTAGGGCCATCAGTGGATTCTTCCTCTGATGAGGTCAGCAGCTGCGGGTGCCCTGGGGAGGAGAGGCCTGGTTAGAGGCAGGAAACTGAGGTTCCCCCTGCAAGTTGTCTCCCGTCCTGGCTTTTGCCTTCATTTCTCTTTCTCTCTCTCTCCCCTTCTCTGTTTCCTCACTGCCATGACAGAGGCAGCTTTGGAAACCTCCCTGTGCCCTGTGCCCACAGTTCTGCCTTGGAGCCAGGCAACCGCGGGCCACACTAACCAAAGCCAAAATAACCGTCATCTCCTGTACGT